GGTGGGGGGAAGAGACATGGGGAGAAGGAGGGTCACAGGACTGTGTCGGCCCCGTTCTGGTTTATCCTGAAGGACAGCGTGACCATTTCTGCCACTGGATTCGGCACCGTAACCAAAAAGTGCTTTAAAAAAAAGAATAAAAAAAAATAAAAATCTCTGCAAGCATCCAGCTTGCAAAGGTGGAAACGGTGGCTTTTCTTCACACTAGGTCACCTTCCCAAAATTTATCCCAATCAGCTACTTTGGCTGAGGTGGCAATTAGGAAAGGATCGATGGTGTCCCATCCCCATGACGTGCCTGAAGCCGGGTGCCACGTCCCACCCTGGGACGGGAAAAGCGGGGTGAATGCAGCTCTTTTTCAACATCATATTCTCTCCCCGAACTCCCAAACAACCAGAGGATTGGGGCATCGCTTCTGTTAAGTCTTTTAGCGACGTCTGACTCCCCCTGACTTTTTAGGTGGGAGGTGGGCAGCTAACTGGCCTCCCCCTCTTCCCAGCCCCAGCCGAAAGAAATTCATACTGGGAGATAAGTAGGTACCGATTTGCCGTACGCCGCGGGAATGAACACCCGGCTTGGCGCCGGTGTGCCATAGCTGCCGCAGGTGTCTGCTCCCGTTAAACAACAACCGATCCAAAACAAGTTCCCTTGATGCAGAAGGTCTCGGACAGTTCTCGTCCCATGAGCAACGTACCTATGGGAGGATGTAACCAGCCAAATTGGGGCTGGGCTGGTGGGCAACCGCTCAAAGGAAAACCAAAGTCGCAGTGCCCGGCCCGTTTGTGTGCAATTTTTGTTTCAAACCCCAAAAGCGGTTTATAAACAAGTCCGCAGAGGGAATCGGCCTTCGCGTTCTCTGCGTGTGGACTGAAGGGTACACCCCGGCTGCCGAGGACACTGTATCTGTAGTTGTGATGTTATTAGGCAAGTGGGTTTTTTTACACCCCCTGGGCGAGAACGGTCAAGAAAGTCATCTGAATTGGGCTGAATCAAAGCTATCTCTGTTAGGATAAAAATAATTTTATTTTTTTTTTAAATAAGGATGTAGACTGTCAAAATTATGATTTGTTAAACAGCTTTCAGCACCAAAAAAAAAAAAAAAGTTATTATTAGTGTGATATTTTTAGTACCTCACTGACCATGGCAAATTTATAATTGTCCTTATGACTTGGCCTGTGCCTTTAATGAAACGGTAACCTTGGGTAGTTATAGAAACAAACAAGATTTTTATGAAGAAATCAGATATCCGACAAATTCTTTGAAAGCCCAGTATTTAAAAAAGGGCTTTTATACAGAGAAGCAATTCACCATATAAAATAATAATTCATAAAAGAAACATGAGCAAAGGAAACAACTCAACAGCATTTAAAATTCCACGGGCTAATCCACTTTCTGTCCGCGAGAGGCAAACAAGGAAAAGAAAAGTATTACGCATTCATCGATTAAAAATGAAAAGCTTCTAACCTAATGACACTGCCTTTCACCACCTCCCTGCAATCCTCCCCCCCCCCCCCCCCCGCCTCTATTTTTTTTAAATACCCTCTCTCCTCATTTCGAACCCCCTTCAGATTAATTTAGCAGGCAGCGCCTCGTGCCTGATGGGAGGGAGGACTCATTGATAATTTATGGAAATATCTACTATAATCCAAGGGAGAGGACTTTTTTTTTTTTTTTTTCTCCCCCCCCCCCCCCTCCAGCTTTGTGCAGCAATAGATAATCAAGGCCTTCAAGCAGCCTTAGCTTCCCATTACCTCGGGCAAGAGAATTCCTGAAAGCATGCCTCCGGGGCACCTGAATTATATCCTCCATTAGGGGAGGAAAAGCTTTCTGCATTCCACCTATAACACTCCCCAGAACCTTTCCTGTTTATTTCTGCCGTATGAAAGCAGAAGCATTAGGGACAGGATTTTTTAAGTGAAGACTTATGTAGATACAATGGCGAAACCTTTCAAGCGCGAGCCAGATCACCTCCTTCAATCCCTGGCGGTGACCTATCCCAAATAAAAGGTTTCTGTTACATCATTAGCTCAAGCCAAAAACAGCCTTGGCTTAATGCACAGTTTGTTCTTCCTACTGTTTTTAGGCAAATACTGCTACTTTACTCCCATCTGGGAGGGAAATTACACTGCTGGGCTGTAATCTAAGACAAGATTTTCATTGGAAGCAAATGCTTTCAATCCAGTGTAAATACTGGTGCATGTTCAGAAAAGCCTAAAACAATAAACCCTGGCCCCGTCCGACACAAGTTAGAGAAAGTGAAAGGGTAAGAAAGCACCCGGCTATCCTGAGAGCAAACGCTGCGCTAGCCTTTTAGAAATTGTTTAACCTCTTCCACTTTTTTTTTTTTTCCCTTTTCTTCTTTTTTTTTTTTAAATGGAAAATTGATCCCGTAAAGACCGAAACCACAGAGAGAAGTCTAAACGCTCAATTGTGGATTTTAGTTATTTCCATCTACTTTGCAACCCGATACGCTCACCTCCGTGAGGTCTCCAGAGATTTCCCCCCCACACACACTTTTTTTTTTTTTTTTTTTCCTATTTTCCTCCCCAGCTTCTTCCCCTCTTTTCAAACATCGCTCCGCAAACTTGAAGCGCCGCTGACCAGCCGCACGGTAGCAGCTACGAACCGCGGTTGCAAAAATGTCAGCGGCCGCTCCGTTCCTGAAGTTGACTTCTCCTGCCGCCAAAATGAAGGCGAAACTGAAAAGGTGGAAATAATCATAGAAATGATGCTAGTCCATAAACAAGCTTACAGCCTCATTAGGATAGCGGGGAGGCTCCGCTGGGTGATTTATGCTTGTTTTGCTGATGCCATGAGGAAATGCCATAGGGCAACTTTAGCCAGCTGCTAATGGTTTCTGACAGCTTCTTAGCAACTAGCGCAAGCAACGCCGTGGCCTTCGCTAGTGACAGAAACCGAAAATGTCATATTATCTGCCCGTGTGTCACCAAGTTCCGTGTGGCAATTAACTAGCAGGCCAGCGACTGAGGGGCCAGAGGCTCTTCAAAATGGCCCGTGGCTATTTCGGGAGGTGGTGGAGGGGAGGGGGTAGAAGCGGAGCTGGGCCTCTACGCCGCGCTCCCTCCGTCCACCGAGGAGTCCGCTCCACGCGGATCCTTTGTCCGTGGAGAAACTCCCGTCTCGCTCTCTCTTTAGGCACGGCGTGACATTATCAGAGGCACCGCCGGTAATCCGTCTTGATATGATGGTGGGAAACGACACTTTAATTGGCAGTACCTGGCTCTCCGGTTTCGAGGGCTGGATCCGAAGGTGCGAGCCGTTTTTCTGCTCGCTCGCAAATTAGTCTAAAAGGATTTGAGATCACTGGAGCAGACTCGCCGCCCGTCAAATGGCTGGGAGCGCAGCGACTCTGCACAGCGACTAGACGCTATTTTAACAAAAAAAAAAAAAAAAGGGGGGGAAAAAAAAAAAAAAAAACAGGAGCAAGGCAAAACGCAGAGGAGA